ACATATATATATATATATAGCTGCTAATTACAGAATGAGAATATCATGTGATTTCTTACTGTCTTTTTGGCGTATTATATCATATATATGTACATATTACACGTATTGTGTATACATACATATATACTGATGATAATTTGGGGCCCGAAGGGTGCTGCCTTCCTCCTCTTGAGGATGGCTGATACTTGAAAATCGAAGCATGTCCGCAGAAAAAGTTCAAGATCATGACTAGCTGTCAGCAGCCAGGTCTAAGGAGAGTTCACAACCGCCACTTCTCTCTGAAAACAGAGCAGGCCACCAATTTTTCCCGCTTCATACTACACAAAAGATGTATTTTGAAGGCGGACAGGGATGTGCCTTCAGTTCATCCCCATTGCGCGGTCTTCAGCATGTCGAGCCTGGCGGTCAGAGTAGCCTTTCACCGGGTCCGCTTTGGGTTGAGCTTAACCAACATGATCTCATGTTCCTCTAGGTTGCTTAAACTAAGTTATTAGAATTTGCTATGAACCCAGATCATTGTAACTTACTTTACGTTCCTGCGCAGCAACCCAGACTTTTGTGTTCGCATTTGTTTTTTTGAGGCCAGTGACTCCAAGGCTTACCTGGAGCTAATAGATCCAATCAGGCTACTTGGAGGTTTCATGTCTCCAGCTTGCGGTCTCAAATTCCAAGCCCTGAACCGGCATTATGCGTAACCCCGATTTTGGAAGTTAGGCTTGCGGCCTAGCTATGACTAAACCCTGCAGGGAACTACCCAGAGTGAAAAAGGGCACTCAAGGAAACTCATGTAGGAGTTGGAACACAAACTCCCCGTCTTGTGTTCTCACAGCACCCAACATGTCCCAATACCTCTTCTGCAGAACTCCCATTTGGGGTGCCCCTGGGAAGCTGCCCTATACACTTCGGTGGCCTGGTACTATGGGGCCCTCTTCTTCCTATTTAAATAGGGTTTAGGATTTAAGGNNTTAAGGGTTTGGGGTTTAGCGTTTAGGAGTTGAGGGTTTAGGGTTTAGGACTTAGGGGTATAGGTTTAGGATTTAGGGTGTCAAGTTAGTACTGCGAATACTATGCTGGCCTAAAGAAATATTGCCCATGCACAGTACAAGGGAGGGGGGCATGGGAAATGACAATAGAGCTGGCCTTTATAAGGGCTTCTGGAGAGCTATAGTCCCCCTTAAGTAGATAGAACATGGCTTTGGGTAGGTTTTAGGTTATTAGGGTCTAGGGTTTGGGGTTGAAGGTTTAGGGTATTAGGGTTTAGGCTTTAGGGTACCCCGAAGCCAAGGTTAATGGAGGCTCTTCGTCAGTCTCGGCTTCGCCTCGGGATCACTCCTCAGGAGTGGAGGGTTTGCACTTCATGGAAAACCTAAACCCTAAACCCTAAACCCTAAAGGTCATCATCAATCAAAGTTTCGTAAATGCATTGTTAATTTCAGCACCAAGAAGCTAAACACAAGTATAATGTTCAATAAGATTCCAGCAAGGAACCAGAGGCTTGAGGGTAAGTTTTCTTAAGTCTGGGTTTGTCAAGAAGGGCGGCCCTTCCAAACCCTCATGGCGTATTGGGAACTACAATGACATCACATGAGCTATAGTCCAAACTCCTTAGAGAGGGCTATATAGGGATTATATCGGGGACTAGGCTATTAAGGCGAATGCTGGGAGTTTATACTACGGCTCACATTGGTTTATGATAGAAAGCCTGTATTGTGGACGAGGGTTTGTTCTTCATTGAGATTTCGGTTGGTAAGCGTTTAGATGGTCGTGACAAGTATGGTTGCGACATGAGCGTCTGTTGCTATAGGCGCCTCACGTCTTCCTAAACCCCAAGACCCTAAGCGGTAAACTCTACAGTAAAGCCTGCCCTAAGCCCTAAACCCAACAACACAAGTCCGTTGATGGAGACCCCAGCAGGGACCCACAATTCTGGGCCGTTACGGTTAAAAGAGGAACCACAATTGCATCCCCTAGGGTAACAGAACTACAGTATTTTTGCTAGGGTTCAGGGTTTAGTGTTCAGGGTGTAGCAGGGTTTAGGGTGTAGGGTTTACTCGTCCAGGGTTTTTCGAGCCGCCGTAGGTTCGCGATTCTGATTCCGGAGTTGCATTGCAGGGTGGGACAGATTTTCGCTGCAACTTAGCAGAGGATATCTGGGGATCCTTTCGGGCATTACATGGGCTGCAGAGCGATATCCTAAACCCCACACACGGTGCCATAGCCCCTGAATAATGTACCCCCTGACCCCCCAACTGCAAAAATTCCCCTGACTGCATTGTATGTATCGCTAAACCCTCAACCCTAAACCCGAAACAACCCTAAAGCCTAAGGGGTGGCTGTTTTCCGGGAGGTCTTACCATGCTAGACCATGGCTTCTGGAAAAGCCGGCCAAGCATCTGGAGTAGGGCGAAGAGCTCATGACCGTTAATGAGGTTTACAGGGTTTATTTGGGTATATACAGGGCTCAGGGGTTCCCAGAATTAGGGGGTTCTTTTTTGGGGCCCCCATAATAAGGAGTATAGTACTTTGCGGTTTTTATGGGCTCCCCCTATTGAGGGAAACTACAGAATAAATAGTCCCTCTTAAGTAGATAGAATATGGCTTTGGGTATATTATACTGAGATTCCTATATACCCCATGTTCTAGCTACTTAAGGGGGACTATATCATGTGAGGTAGCAAGGCAAGTGCTTCATGGTGCAGCTTAGACTTTCAGACTTTCAGCATTAACCCTTCAGGACTATACTGTACTGCATCTTCACTTGCTCCGGAGAAACTAGAAGGAAGGTTTTTAAACGCCGGGATATTCTTGTGAAACTGTTATGAAGTACCTCCAAGGTTCTAGAGGTTAACCTTAAAACCCTAAACCTAGACCCCCCACGCCCTAAACCCCAAACTCTAACTCTTACACTCCCCAAACCCTACCTCCTAAAGCTTAGACATCCTAGACTCTAGGCCCTACGCTCTACACCCCAAAGCCGCGCCCCTACAAGTAGACCAGACAGTCTTATTTGTGACAGGAGCACTGCAAGGTCGCTGAGACACTTCCAGACCAGTGTCGCAGCAGCCAGATGCTGGGCGCAGGCCTAAGCACTCGTTTAGGGCTAAGGGTTTTGGTTCAGAAGGGTGCTGGAGTTGTGCCTTTGAGGGTTCAGTGTTTAGGGATGAGGGCGCAAAATCGAGGATCTGTAGGGGTTTGAGAGTTTTGGGTTCTATCTTGCGGGGCTCAAGGGGAATTAGCGATTGATGTTTGGGTCTGACGGATGGCCGTCGTCCCAAATCATCCCGCGCTTTAGGGTTCAGGGTTTAGGGTTTAATGTTTCAGTTAGCTGTGCCCGCTGAAAAGTCCGCATTGATTCATCCCAGCAAGTAACTGAGATTCAAACGGACTCCAAAATGGGATGAGATCGAAGCTGCGATCAGATACATGTTTCAAGGGTGCAGGGATAGGGAGGAAGATCCAAGTTATAGCCAGGCATACTCTAACCATACGATGATGGTTATCCCCATGTAGCCTCGCTTCCAACCCTAAACGCAAGCACATCTCCCTATTCCAACAATCAGGGGTACTCATGGCATCCCCAAAAGGTTACGGTTCAGGATCCTAGGGCTACATGAACTATAGTCTACACTCCTTAAAGGGGGATATATAGGGGATTATATAGGGAACTACTATATGGGTTATTAAGGGGGATGCTAGGAGTTTAGACTATAGCTCACCTGGTGAGTTATTACAGGATCGAGTTCGGAACCAAGGTGCCGCCTCTCTTGATGAGTTGACAGCCCAATTATGGCATTCAAGGCTAACACGGTTGTGTTTGGATTTTTACGCGGACGGCAAAGGGGGCAATAAATCATTGGGACGATTTCTGGCGAACAAGTCAAGGGACAAGCATCATCCGGCATGATTTTGAATGCGGGCTTTGCCAGGCTTTCTGTCAAGAGGCTTTGCGATGGCCGCTTCTGTAGTAGAACTTGACACATGCTCGGAATCGTAATTATACACCTGGAAGGATCAGGATCTAAGAATTAGATCCCCTGTGCACACATGAGTTATACGCCTGAACTAATTTCTACCTGAGTGCCCCTCCATAGTTTCCTCGGGTTTGTTTTGTAAAAGCAGGTCCCTCAAAGCTTAGGAAAGAGAAGGTTTAGCATTTAGGTACGTCTGCTGCGGAGCCAAACTTTTGAGGATCCTTGCTGCTTCGAAGTTGGAACCGCGGTCAAGGGGCTTAAATGTTAAACCCTAAACCCTAAACCCTAATTGTTAAACGCTAAACGCTAAACCATTAACCCATCGAAGTCGGGTAGAAGCCTAGAAAATGACTTGCGGGACTCGATGAAAAATACTCCAGTTCTAACCAGGTTAAAACCTGCAATCCTCCATAGCTACTCTTATAGATAACCATAGTCTGTCATAAGGTGCATATCTAGCCTAAGCCCTAAATCTCCGTATCTTTCAAGTTTCTGTTTCAGTGCCCGTAATTTTCATGTTGCTCTCTACTATGCTATCCTAACACCTAATCTAAAAACCTTAAACTTTTTAGATTCTAAACCCTTAACCCTAATGAACTACCTCCCCAGCTCCGAGACTCAGGTTGATCCCGCTGAGAAGCTCGGGCTGAGTGGGGTTTAGGGTTTAGGGTCAAAGGGTTCAGGTTTAGGGTTAAAAGTTTATAGGCTTTATAGGGTTTAGGTAAAAGGGCTTAGGGTCCAGACTTCAAAAAGGGTTGCTGGTTCGTATTCCCTGCCCCAAATACTAGTTTGTCGAGTGGCAAGCTTTTTCAAAAATGTTGGTTTTGTGTGTTCCCAGTATTTTGCCCTTAACCCCCAAGAAGTCTATACTTTTTCTCAGGGGCTACTGAACATTCAGAAAAATGGAAACCTCCCCAGCCCCCTGTAAGAGATGTTCGTATTGTCGTATAATACAGTAGGTTCGGAAAAATATGGTGAGAGGGGGTGGGAGGTTCTGATATCCGGGAGAAGATTAGAAGATACGTGTGCAGTTGGCTGTGTCCAAACCTGGGCCCAAAGCTACATACCCACGGTTCACACCCCTCGCCTTAACAGCAAACTGGTAGAATCCGCAATCCAAACCTTACACGTTTTTACAAGTGCACGCGCAAATCAAAAAGGACCAACTCTAAACCCTCAACCCTTAACGCACGCCTGGGAAAACCCTGGACCCCAAAAGAAGGCAACAGAATAGCCAAAAAAAATAGGCCAAAAGGCCATTATTCTACATATATGCGGGGTTACGGTACTGCTATCTCTTATCAGACTCCTCTCCCCCCCTCCCACCAAGTGTTTCGGCCTTCTCCATGTGAGCTATAGTCTTCCATAAAGGGAGTGATATAAGGGAGTATATATAGGGGACTACTATAGTGGTTATTATAAAGAGGGACACTAGGAGTTCAGACTACGGCTTATGTGAAGATTACGGTCTTTCAGGGTTCGGGCCTATGATGAAGCTTCAATATTCCCTGCTGATTACGCATGTACTTCCCTTATAATCCGTATGGAGCTCTAGTATTTTGTACCTTGCAACTTTACTCTCGCAACTCATTCTGCGGCTGGATCTTATAGATGATGCAGCAGATCATTCTTCAGATTCGCTCTCTTATTTTTTTTAGAGGGCGGGGTTGTTTGAGTAGCTATTCCTTCTGCTTAGCTTAGGGAACTCAGCAACAGGGTCCGCAACAGGGTCATGGTGTTCAAGTCACTCAAGGACAGGCACTTTGCAGTTTTTGGATGCTGGGGACTTAGTAAGGAGTGGACAAGAGAATGGAAACTACCTTTCTATCAGAAGGTTGGGGTGAGGGGTACTAAGAAAGTACACTCGTATTAGGGGTATGTGGGGTTGCTATCTAGCTTTTAAGGTAGAAGTATACTTTTGAAGTCTGACCCTCATTCATGAACGTGTTGAATTGAGTCTGCGACTGGGCACCGCAACTGCTCAGCAAAGCATTAGCATGTAGACTGCTCGTTTGTCAGCATCCAGAAAAGCTTGCTGCCTAAAACCCTACTTGCAACCCCAAGTACCTGCAGTGTTATGGCTGATACCTACAAAAACATTATGCCCACTAAGCTGTAAGTACGTGGGGTTACAGGTGTACTCTAAACCCCGAAACCCTTGATCTGGCGAGTGTAGTGAGCGGGGAGTCTGACCTGACCAGCTAGCTTTGGTCTTCAAAAATTAGTGGTCCCTTTGTGGAAGTCCCTATGCTTAAGGTTTTAGTCTTTTGCCGGTATACTGGGAGGAGACCATTTTTAAACCCTAAACCCTAAACCATTACGGGCCCCCTTCAAAAGTTGCGGGTCTGCTTTGGGGCGTTCATGTTATTTTCGGACGAAGACCCGAAGCGGCGTGCCAATACTAAATGTCTTACAGAAGCCCAATACCTTAAGTAAGGAACATACCTTGAAGCATGTTATGACCCTAAACCCTAAATCCTAAACCCCACACCTTAATGGATCCTAGTATCATTCAGGGTATATTCCCTGATTTAGGGATATTTTGCTTTCTGGGTTTTCAGATAGTTCCAACTTGCAAGGACCTCGGACATGTGTAGGGTTTAGGGTTGTGATCATTTGTGTAATTCCCTAAAGGCTACCCATCCCCTACCCCTGCGAATGAAACCCCCCAACCCCTAACAATGACTATGTTCCTACTATATAATGGTATTGTTTTTTTGGGGGGGGGTTGGGGGTGTTGCTAATTGTGCAGGCTATAGTACAGGAGGGGAGCATAGCTATTGCGCCTGAGGTACCGACACACGCTTCTTACTCCTAGCCATCTGTTCGAAATCGTTGTGGGAAACGCCAAGGGTCTCGAACTTCAAGTTTTGCTTGTGTTCCGCGCCGCCCTCATCAGGATCCAAATTAGTTCTGTCCAACGGGGCCAGTATGCCAATGAAGGAGACTCCGTTTGTCAGCTCCGTTTGTTAGCATAGCCCCGCAAGCAGTTCAGCACAAGACCCTCCAGTCGCCCATTCAGCAACATGTAGTATCACGCCCCGCGATTGCTTTGCTGCTTTTTAGCTGTGCCCCTTCGAGCGCAATCCCCCCCCAAAGGGGGGGGCATACAGTGCTCAAGGGCATCCAACGGGCAGCAGGACCCTGCTTGGGGTTTTTGTAATAATGATAGCAGCCGAATCTCACCCAGTCCCAATAACAGAAGTATGAGTCACCGTAATGATATGAAGAGTAACAATAGGAATAATGAGCTATATTTCTAATAATAGTGGCAAATGCATAGCAAAAGCGAACAAATGGAATTGTGTAACAACTCTCCCCGGGTATGGCACACAAAAAGTCCCCCTTTCTAGAAGCCTGAAGTTGGACCTTAACATCTCCTTGTACCCTCCACGAGTACTGGTAGAAAAATGCCATTTTTGACAATTTTTGAAAAATCTGGGCCAGTATTTTTGGATAGACGGTCCATCTTTTTTTCTCGGGGCGGCTTCAGGTCCCTCCTGAAGCTACCAACTAGCACCTTTTTTCATGCGGCGCCGGTGCAGGTGTAGACTGTGGGGCTCAGAGGGCATAGAGCAGGTAAGCGATTCTCTGAATTCAGTTTTTCTCGGATTATAGTCCCCCTTAAGTAGACCCTAAACCCTAAACCCATATGTCCCATATTCTATCTACTTAAGGGGGACTATAGATTCTCCCCTGCTGGCGATGCTCCTTCGCACCATCGGTTGGGGTTTAGGGTTAGGGTATTGGGTTTAGGGTTTAGGGCTTAGGGTTTAGGGTAGGGGGACCCTAATTTGGGATCCCAACATAAACCCCAAAATAGGATTCACCTTCTTCCCAAAAAGGGTGTGGGAAACCCCCACGTCCAGGAGTTCTGGATGACCCAACAACAAACCCCGGATGATTGAAACAGGACGAGGAAAAGGTCTCCTATGGGGTTTAGGGTTTAGGGTTTAGGGGTATCCTAAGTACCCTAAACCTCTTGAATTATGGTGCTATAGTATACTAAAATCATGCAAGATTTTTTGGCATCAACGGTACCCATTCAAGCAATTCCTGAAGCAGTGCCTGGACTGTAGGATTTACAGAGATGTCTGGTGAGCATTGACCTCTGTGGCATTTCCTAGCAGAGCCTTCTGAAATCAGAGGGTAGGCATCAACCTTTGAGCTACCTGGGTATGCGTGTTTCAGCTCGAAATGTTGTTGTTTTGGCGTACCCGCAAAATGTGACCCCTAAGGATGCCTCAAAAGGGATCATAATTTATTTGACAAACCCTAAACCCGAAATCCCTAAACCCTCAACTGAAAAGCCCAAAACTCCTAAACCGTAATCCCCCAAGCCCTAAACCCTTGACCCCGAAATAATTCACCTGGATCCTTGGAGGAGAACCGTCCTTGCCTGCCCGAAGCTCAGGTGACAAGCGCAACAGAACGTCTACTTGGAGGTTCATGGGACTTAGTAACTATTTGTAACTGGGGTTATAACCCTACTTATAATTGGGGTAACCCCTATAAGGTCATTTAGGGGGGTTATACGTGGGGTTATAAGTCCAGCTATAAGTAGTTACTATTTCCCATGAACCTCCAAGTAGGATTAGCTCCCCGACCCTAAACCCTAAACCCTAAACCTAAACCGTAAACCCTTGACCTCAATCGCTAGCCCTCATCTGAGGGGCCTGGGGACTGTGGATGGGGAAGGGACGGGTGTTTATGCTGGCGAGAACCGAGGTTTTCACCATCTACTTGCCTGCAGAATCCGTTTAGCCACGGCCTCAGGACAACCCATGTAGCTGTATAGTATAAATTTGGGGCCCAACATGGTTCTTATAGCATTTCTTTAGTGCCCAAGTATATACTACAAAGGCTGCCTGTATCTTAGGACAGGTACCGCGAGACTTTCAGGAGTCCACCTGTGCACCCACACCGCGGCAATGTCTTACTGGGGGTTAGTAGGGAACAAGGGAGTATATCGTTTTTTCCCCTACTAGTAGTAGCAATGACAGGAATTCATAATAGCTGATAATCATATCCAATAATCACAAGCACTAACTACTTAATGGGATAACCCCCAGGTAAGGTGCGCATGTACAATGCCTTACGTGCAAGGAGTGGGCTTTACAAATGGAACCTTCTTCAGGCGATCAGGTGAAGTTGAAAAATCCCTGCCGTTCTTGGTACCTTGTCTCCGGTACTCCCAAAGGGTCCACATAGCTATATCGTATATGCTTAGAGCTCTCAGGGGTTGCCACATACCCGTTCTAGGGCGAAGTATATCCTATATACCCTCAACCCTAAACCCTAAGTCCTAAACCCTACGCTCTAAACCAAATCCCATACTATTTAGCTGGCCCAAGTCTCTACCATATAGCTACATGGACCCTTCGGGTCCCTAGCTCCAGGCATCCTCGGGCAGCTTCAGATGCTACTGTATTGGCCCCGTGCGTGAATGTTACTAAGGGAGTAGGGAATAAGGGAATACAATCTCTATACGACCCCATATAATATATTCCCTTCTGCCCTGCTAACCTCCAGTAAGGAACGTTGTAGTTGATATGTTCATGTGCTTCTCGAAAGTTCCATGAAGTTTCACCTGGCCGTGCACATGATCCGCGTGTAGTCCCAGCATG